GCACCCTCGAGGACTCCAGAGCTGAAGCGGCCGTCCTCAGTCTGCTCGCCGGCGGCGATCGTGCGGCCGCCCTCCACCGTCCAGGCCATGACGGTGGGGCGGGGGGTTGGAGGTGAAGTTAACGGTTACGGTGCCCTCCTGGTCCTGCGTGAAGCCGTACAGCGTGCCCAAGTCGCCCTCCGGACGGTACGGAGCGTCTGCCGGTGCCAGCGATCGATCAGTCAGGTCAGGTCAGATCAGTCGGCGAAAGGCCTGGTCAGCCGGGAAAACTGGGCCACGGGGTGGGATGCACGCAGTTATGGCGCGCGCTATCGCACTTGAAGCAGGCGGGACTCAGCCTTTCAGAGCATGCGCCAGGTCATTGCCAATGCCTGGCTGCTGTTGGATTATTCACGTAAGTTCGCAGGCTCGTTATGGTGGTTACTGACGGGTGGCCTACTACATAAGTATATTATAAGTCATTGATTTAGATTTGCATATGCACACACACACACACACATGCACATATATATATATATATATATATATATATATATATATATATATATCAGCATCAAAAATGAGAAGTATATAAATGACTGTAGAAATAAATACTAAAAGCTAACTAAAAAAGTAACAAATCTTAATAAAGATAACAATAATGTAACAAGCATGACAATGAAAATTAATATAAATACCAGTCAAGTATATCGATATGGAGAGCATCTCAGGAGGGGAAGATGAGAAACCTACAAAAACGCCCCAAAGTTAGTCTCTTCTTGAATCTAACCCACTTTCGTATCAACTTTCGGGGAGCGAGGCTGGAGCCTTCACCACCTTACAACTGAGTTGGAGAACTGCACCATAGCTACTAAATATGTGTGGTACCAGCTCGTGACGCCAATTAACACCAAACAATGAACGTTATCTCCAGTATTATATAGAAAACCAGAATTCAAATACCCAAAAATGTGATGAGCGCGAATCCCGGCGCAGCACCGATACTCCCTCCTGCCGTGCCAATGCTCCAGCACAGCAGCTCGCCGACTCACACTGCACCATGATGTTGATCGAGACCTCCTGGTTGTCCTGCTCGTCGTATCCCGGGTGGCGGGCGGCGCAGCGAAGCCCGGCGCCATCGTCCTCGCGGCTGAACTGGTACGTCAGCGTCGCCCGGCTGGTGACCAGCTTCGAGCCGGGGTCCACCTCGTCCTCGACCGTGACGCCCTCGAACAGCTCGACGTCGTCCAGGTACCAGAGCAGTTCAGCTTTGGGCCTGGCGTCGCGCGCCTCGCAGGTGATCGAAGCCGGCTCATCGGCGCTGGCCAGGAGCTCGGAATGGCCGGCGTGCTCGCCGCTGAACTCCACAGCCACCGGCTTCTCTGCAGCGTGGGCGCGAGGCGGGCGTCACACAGGGAACGAGACCGGGGCGGCGCACGGGGCGTCTCGGCCATCGCGCGGGACACGGCACGTGGCAGCCCCACACGAGCTGTGGCGGAGGCACGTGCCGTGGCGGGCATCACACGAGCTGTGGCGGGTGTCACACGAGGCACGGGATGTGGCAGACATCACACGGGATACAGAACGTGGGGGTGTCGTGTGGGGCACGGCACGTGGCAGAATCACATGAAATACGGGCCGCGACCCGCCACATGAAACTCGAGCACGAGATGTGGACCCCGGCTCGAAGCCGGTGCACGAGCACCAGAAGTGAGCACAGTTCCGAACAGCCACGACACATGACTGGTGTCAAATTATTTGAACTGACCATCGCCGGCGCCCAACACAGCTATACGACGGCGCATACCATTTCACGGGATGCTTGTCGAAGTCTAAAGTAAACGAATCGCAACAGCAAGCCAGTCTATGCAAACCGACGCCTGCGACGACATTCGAAGGAAGGACTGCAATGTCTGTGTTGACAACAAAATAATGATCCATCTCCCTTCGCCATGGACTACTAGCGCATAACGGTGGTCAAGCGACCGCATCTCGCGACGAACAAGACTCACGAGCAATGATGACTTCAGCGAACTCGGCGTCCTCCTGGCCACCAGCCCGCAGTGAACGGAGAACACAGGTATTTGCCGTTGTGGTCGCTCGTGACGCTCTCGATGATGATGGTGCAGTCGGTCCGGCTGGTCGGGTCGCGCGCCTTGATGCCCAGCTCAGCGGGCACCTTCAGCAAGGGAACGATGACGTCGGCACAATGGCGAGGCTTCGCCGGCGAGAGCAGCACAAATCCCGGTGATAGCCATGCGGATATCGATATCATGGGCCGTGTGTTGGAACGCTGTTGTCACACAAAGCTAGTTGGTGACAATTTCAATTCAAAGTGATACACCAAGCGCAAGAAGCGAACTCAAGCGCTAGCTGCACAAACACATCTAAAACGCCCTGCTCCTTCCCAAAGAGGGTGACCAGAGGCGCGGCCGGCTACGCGCAGTCTCGTGAGACTTCAGTCCCCCCCCCCCCCCCCGCCCTCACTACGTCAGGGTTCAGCGCAGTTGCTTAAACCACCCCATAAATGAAAATACTTCCGCTGCCTGTAACTTTATAAATGAAAATAACTCCGCTTGCCTGTAACTGATCAGGGAAGTTATGTTGTATTTACGTCTCATCAACTCAATGGGCGATGACATGTCGGACCCAACAGTCTTTTGATGACAATGTCCGCGGAAAGTCGAGTCAGTGCACACTCGACCACTGTGTTCGAAGCCTGTGCGGAACAATTTCGATGGCCAATTGATATACTATAGTCATTCGCATGCTAGGCATACCCAAAAACATCGGTGACGCTCATTGTCTGTACCCAGTGTGTAGACGCTGGGAAAAGGGCTGGGACTCGACCACGCGACCCCAAAAATTTCAACCTTCATTGCATACCATGTTAGCTATACCCCATAGCACATCCCAGCCGCCAACGGACAAGACAACACATGCACGAGACCAGTTCCTATTTTCCGAGATGACGTCCAGTTTTCCTTTGCAAATATCCAGCGATACTCAAAGTTCTAAACCTTCAAAAACCATGCGCTTTAAAGCTTCAGATGTCCCTGAAGCACACATCCAGCATCTGTGCAGCCCTTGTGTCCCATAACACACATATCTCCGTCAGAAAATTATCCCATAGAGTTGCATTTTGGTTTCAAACAAGACGTTACGACTGAAAAGCCCACAGTGCGCCGTGCGGGCAGCGAGCTGGCTCACGTTGACGTTGATAAACCCAGTGGCGCTCAGGCCTGGGGCGTCCTCCAATTTCCAGGCACAGTTGACCTCCTCGCGGGTGATGCACTCCAGGGTCACCGAGTCCCCCAGACGGGCCACGTTCTCCGCCCGCGGCTGAACGCTGAACAGCTGTCCGCATACTCCTGTAGGCCAGATGACACGCTCTGGTCAGGTCATGTCAAATCGGGTCAAGGCAGGTCAGGTCGGGTAGTGTCAGCACAGCGTCCTAGGAGCGTTAGAGCGTAAGACAAATATCCTGTCGTCGGCTTGGGCCAGCTTCACTCAGGAGACGATGGCGAAGGAAGCTCTGACTCGCAAAGTATGGCATCGCATCACACATATGGGGCTTAACTTTGTAGGCCTGGCTGTTATCTCGCCTCAATACAGTACGTTTGAGGATCATTCAATTTAGAAAGTAACTGCGGTAACGAGACAAAGCGCATCAATCTGATAATTGTCACGGCAAAACCGATTGCGAGCTGGGAAGGCAGTGCAAATTGCATTTGTATTTAGATGAACGCCGGCGGGCGTCAGCTGCGTGTCAAGCATCGTAATAGTACGCGTGATGTACTCGGTTTACATTGTGGCATCCTTCACCGACTAAACAGACTGCACTTTTTGGAATGCTCTGGCAGCTATGTTTGTCGGTTAGGTCCAAATACGCTGTAGTGTGGCAAGTTATCTTGCAAACATTAGTTGAACCTTTAGTCCCCTCTTGCCGGTCTTGCCCCTCTAGAGACACGCGCTTTAAAATGAGACTTAATAGCTTAGATCTTGGAGGGTTGCCAGAGTGTACTGACTCGATACGACAGCGGCCCACAGTGTATTACCAACATCTGTTGCAAACGTGTGGCCGCCTAGAGCTTCCAGCCAGGTGTTGCGACCACTGGGCTCCCATGACTCCGTGAAACGTGCACAAATAAACCACAGCCATAACCAAAAAGCACCCTATTCGACTCGCTTGAGTGTGAAAGCGAGAGCGAGCGGTAGTGTCGCAACGGGCTCGGGTCGCTGTGGCGGCCGGTCAGCCAGCCGGCAGTCACCGGGGGCGAGCGGCGTCGCGCGGGCGGCGCCGTGTCGCGAGGCGTCGCCGCCGGCGCAGCGGGCGTGGTTCAGCCGGCCGGCACACCCCGCCTCAAAGGCGCGCACAGTCATCGCTCGTCGAAATCGATGGGCGTCGGTTCCGGCGACGCGTCGCACTTGCGCGTAGGGGCCAAAACGCTGCGCCCGACACCGGCGGCGGGCCCAGCAGTCATCCTATGTCCACTCGTTACCACCTCCCGCCCTGCAGCTGGGTGGTCTTTCAGACGGTGCGGGCGGATATGGCGCCGCAATCCCGAAGTCTTATTCGTCGGGCTTTCCTGCAAACCAGCGCAAGTCGGTGTCGACGTGGCCGGCGCCGCTCGCGCCTCGTCGTCCGACGCCATGTCCCTGGCGCTTCGCCCAGCGACCGCTATTGATTTTGCGGGCGGCCCACGTGAGTGTGGAGGGGACTGCGCGCGACTGTGAATTCAGACTGGAGGGGACGCTCGCGCCGACGCTGGCAGCCGGACATGGGCGCACCCAGAGACGTACGCGCGGCTGCCACCGCTCCCTCCATCAGCCCGGGTCTGTGACGGCGACCCGCGGCCCCCCCTCCCCCCAACAGAGGGGTACGTCTGAGACGCCAGGCGCTCATCCAGCACCCAGCACCGGCGGCGTCTCCACGCAGCGGCTCAGTCCTGACCCATCCAGCACCGCCCGGCACCAGGACAAGTGGCGCCACCACAGCGGTGCCGGCCGGTGCGGAGCCAGCACCCCTGGGCGTTGGCTATTATGGCGGCGGCGCGCCGGCCGGCTGGCCGGCGCCGGTCCCTGGGAGCCTCCCACCGGTAATGGCCGCGCGAGGAAACCTCATGCAATTACGGCAGGCCCGCCGCGTCACTGACGGCGGCCGCTGACTCAGTCCGCCGAGCGCCGGCGCACAGCACGCCGAACCGCTAAAAGCGGACATCTGAGTCACGCACGCGTCGGCTGTCGGCCTGCGCGCCGTCAGGAGATGACTGACAGGGTCACGGGCACGCTGTCGGGTCACGGACCCGCACATATCTCAGCGCTGCTGGCGAGGTCACTCAACTGACCGGGCAGAGGCCAGCCAACCTTCCAGCTCGCTCGGTCCTGCATCCGAACACGGTGGTTCGCTCTGGTGTGGTCGGGCAATATAGGCTTCGGTGATAAACAGGTGAAGCGGCGGTAGTCTATTTTCCAGGCATGTTTACAAGCCGCGGTGAGTGAGGATGATTGCGCACCAGCGCAGACAGTATTGATCTAGTGCTGAAGGCTAGCAGACTGAGTGTTGTTTGTCTGGCCACACCAAGGACGAACCTTCCGCTTGTTCAGTACACAATGGCTTTCGAACGTCATATTAGGCAACTAAGAATTAAAAGCGAACTAGTTTGTCAACAGTCAGATCTGCACAGCGCCAGCACCCCATTAAAGTTTGGTGACGCCAGGAGCGAGGTTTGCCAACAGCCGGAGTTCTGGTCCGTAGGCTACAAGCAGTAACCGGAATTCCATCAGTCATCATCCGTCTTGAAACGGAGTGGTGCTCATGAGTCGATGCTGTCCACATTCCACTTCACCGCCGACCGTCTCCGCACCCAGGTCACGCATCACTCCGGCGCGACCGGCGGGTGACGTATCAATCAGCCGACTGCGCTTGCCAGCGCCGGTGGGAGCCGGCGCGCCGCTTTCGACCGCGGCGCCTCCTCCCACGGGCAAATTGCCCCGCAGCGGCCTTACCGTTCACGCAAGAACGGGCGTCCGCAGCCGGCCGGCCGGGCCCTGCCGCGTCCAGCCGGACGGCGGCGGGGCGTCATCGCCGCCGGCCGCGCAGGACGCGCCGCCGCCGGCCGGAAGCGGCGGCCACCGGCTCCCAGGCTCGGGACGGCCGGACGCGCCGGGATCCGGCCGCCAGTTGGCGCCAGCGGCGCTCCGACCGGGACGGGGCCGGGATTTGGACCGGGGCTGGGGCAGGGGCCGGGGCCGGGCAGGAGCTGAAAGGGCCCGGCGAAACATCATGTGGGACGTCCTGCAGAGCAAACACTGTGTTCGCCCAATATTCTTATCGCGTTGCGGGTAGAAGTCTAGGTAAAAAGCTACAATCGCGCTGTCCAGGTGCAGCAATACCATCGTTTCACGCAGCGCAAACTAAATCCAAGAATACCCGCCAGCCAGGTAACAGCTTACTCGACACCTGCTGCCGTTCGTTCGTGTTCAGACGGCCGCGGCAGTGAACCGCGGCCGGCGGCCGTATGTCACGGCGGCGACGGTGGTCGCCAGGTGAACAATGAGGACATCCTGTGGGGTCACGGTCGGCGCGCGCGGCGTGCTCGGCTCGGTCACGGGCCGGGCGGACGCGCTCTGGCCGCGCCGGCGACGGCTTTGTTCGACGGGCGCAGCTCGGCCTCCAGCACCGGGCACCCCCGCCGGCCGGACGGCTCCGCGGCCGCACTCCGTCCGCGGCCGCTCAGCATGAGGTGGTATTGATCAAGCGGTCCGCCCTGCTGTCGCCGGCGACATGCGCGTCCGGCGCTCGACGAGTTAATTGCACGCCCCCCGGCGGCCGGCCGCCATCAAGGCAACGGCGCCCGGTGACGAGCGCGTGCCGCCACACGGACTGACGTGCCGCATGACCGAAATGCTGTGTGACTGACATGCTGTGTGAGGGCTCTCGGGTGCGCAGGACGGAAAAACTACGAAGGTCACGTGACGGGATTGTTTTAATCGTTCGCCTAGAGCATAGTCTGCGGCTGGATATTCTCGACTACAGCTGGCTTAAGAAGACCTGCCCTTTCCGCAGCATGGCAAGCCAACTCCATAGTTACTTGACTTCAGATATAAAAATACAGATACATGCAATGAGTTTTCACAACAGTTTGTGTCTTTCACCGCTGCTGTCACAGAACAATCTATCTAGCACGCTTTAAAAGTTCTGCGAATCCTACCATCAAAATTCACAACGCTACGTAAAACGTTAACTGCCCGGTTCTCTGCGTACGGCTAAAATGGCAGGATAGCAGAAACTTAACACGAGAACACGACATACCCAGCGTCGCGAATTAATCGAACACTTCCTTGACGCACCCGCGGTCATATGGCGCCGGGCCGCGGGCGCACCTGACCGGCAGGGGGCGCACGCGTCGCGCAGGGCCTCCTCCGACGCGTTCCGGCAGCGTCCAGCCCGGTGCGGGCACACCCGTCCGGGCCGCCGCCATCGCTGCCGCCGATCCCCAATTACCGGCTTGCGTGACGTCACAGACGGGCGGTGACGTCACGCACCTGGCCAGCGGCCGGCCGGCGTTTGAATTTGGGCAGGCAGTGCCGGCCGGTGGCGGCTGCGCCGCATTCTCTGGGGCAAGGCCGCGGCGGGTGGGGCGGTTGGGCGCTAAACGGGCTCTGCCGTCCACAGCAAGCGAACAAATGGACAATGGAAGCAGCCGAGATCGCCCCGATCGGACAATGGAGGAAAGGGTCGGCTAATTAAGTGTGGTGCTTCATGACCACCGGCCATATGCACTCTCATCAGGATTACATACCGAATGTGCACGCACCGTAGCAACTCTTTCAAACCCGTCTTTCCTTGGAGCAGATGCACAACCTTCGACATCACCGTCGCAATGTGCATTGTCGTCGAGCGGGACGCCGCTGCAAGCGAGCTGAGCACCTCAACTCAGCACCTCAGATCAGCGCCTCAGCACCTCAGATCAGCGCCTCAGCGCCTCAGCTCAGCGCCTCAGCTCATCGCGTCGCAGTCGCGCAGACTGTTCACACACGAGCTGGGCCGTACCCCGACCCGTTCGGTCAGCACGGCCCTTCGCCGCGCCAGGCCGCTCGGCGCCCCCTCCCTCCGCCTTGCACGGTTCGGTCCGCAGCAGCAGATGCACTGCCCAGATTGCAACGGTATTTCCTGCAATGTTGCCCGGATCGGACGGGCGATTGCAGGCTGGGTGCGCTACAGCCGAGGGAAGCACGGCGCGCGCTGCCTACGGCCGGGCTTTATCACGATAGTTGTGTCTGTGCCTGCGTGGTTCGGGTCTAAGTCCCGATGTGGCAGCCTGTACCATTGGCCACGTACGCTGGCAGGTGTCGTTGGTTTGATGAA